GACCGGCCCCGAGGAGCAGCAATTTCAGGCAGGGTCTGGGAAGGACGCATCAGGGATGGCCATTAGAAGCCCTTCTCGATGCTGAGCGTGCGCCGGGTGACGTGCTCCATCTTCCCCGAGATGTACTCGGTCAGGCTGATCTGGTAGTTGGCCAGCATCTTCAGCATCAGTCGCAGGTTCAGCCACCACTGCTCCTGGGGCAGCCGGTGCCTGCAAAGTGGGACACGGCTCTCCAGCGGCCCTGGGCACAGCGGCCCTCGCCCCTGAGCTTTGGAAAGCCTGGGGGAGCCGTGGACAGCAGATGGGCACTTACTCAAAATCAGTGACTTTCTTGAGCTCCGTCACAGGGCTGAAGGCCACCACCTTCTTCCTCAGCCCGATGACACAGGCGGAATCAGCCGAGTTGGCAAACACACGCCCTGCAGGGGACACACTGTCATCAGCTGGCAGCAGGCACAGCGGCCGTGCTGCGACCAGCGCCCCCAGCCCCGGGCTCACCCTTGCGGTACGCCTCCTGCAGCTTCTCTGACATCCACAGCACGGCCTTCACGCCCAGCTTGGTCCCGTAGTTGCGATCAAAGGGGGTCGGGGCTCCACCCTAGGGACAGAGAAAAGCTGAGGTCATGTCCCTGTGGGACAAGGCCCGATGCTGGTGGCCTTCCCAACCCTGTACCTGCTGGAGGTGGCCCAGGACATTGATCCTGCAGTCAAAGATGCCCTTGCCCTCAGAGGAGTAGAGGTTGTAGAGGAACTCGGTGGTGTAGTGCTCGTGGCACTTCTCGTTGCTGGGGGAGCAGAGAGAAGGGATGGGGTGAGGTGGGGGTCACCGTCCCTGGAGGTGTTCCAGAGCCACGGAGATGCGGCACTGAAGGACGTGGTCAGTGGGCATGGTGGGCTGGGGTTGGCCCTGGGGATCTCGGAGGTCTTTTCCAACCTCAATGATTCTATGACTTGGGACTCACCGCAGCACCAGCCCTCTCTGGATGTCTGTCTTCATTTTGTCCGTCAGGTGCTCCACGTTGGCCTGCAGGACGAACCCCAGCACGTCCCCTGCCTTCCGCATCCACCCGATGTTCCCCCAACCCCACCACATCTCATCCACAGCTCTCCCCAGTTCCATTGCCCACCTTTATTCCCCACCAAAACGGTACTGCTGGGTACCGAGGGCCACTCACCTTCAGGTCATGGATGGTGAAAGGGTCTTCATACACATAGGCAGCATCGGCACCCACGGCGATGCCGGTGACGGTGGACAGATACCCACAGTAACCTCCCATGGTCTCCACGATGAAGACGCGGCGCTTGGTGCCTGACGCCGACTGCTTGATGCGGTCACAGCTCTGTAAAGGGACAACGCCGGTCACAGGGCTGCATTCATACGGCGTGGTGCTCCCACCTCACCGCTTGCCCCTCACCTCCATGGCTGCGTTGACAGCTGTGTCCGAGCCCAGGCTGAAGTCGGTGCCGGGCACGTTGTTGCTGATGGTAGCGGGGATGACACACATGATGATGCAGAGCTCCTCATACTGCCCACGGGCTTCAACCAGCTGCAGCACCCCCTCGTATGCCTGCCGTGGGCATGGCCGTCAGCAGGCTCCCACCTCACTCCACCACCCGGGGCCAGGATGGGCCCATCAGGTGTGGGAGATGCAGTGATGCCAAAGGGCACCTTCTACATTCAGTGTTTCCCTGTACCTCAAAGCCACCGATGACCAGCAGAGCTTGGATGTTGAATTTCCGCACATTCTCCACGATTTTTTCCATGCAAGTCTTGGGCAGAGTCCTGCAAGGGGGAAAGACCCTGCGCTGAGGCCCCTGAGAAGCCCACGTACAGCAGTGTCCCTTGTGGCACAGCCACGGGCCACTCACCGCTTGGTGCCTAGCATGGACCCGCCGCGTCCCAGCCAGCCTGCCACGTCATGCCAGCCCACCTCGCGGATCTGCAGGAAGCAGCGCTCAATTCTGGAGCAGGGGACAACCTGCCCACCCCAATCAGAGCCCCCTGGGGCTTTTGGTGCCCGCATGCTCACCTGTCCCTTGGCCAAGCCCTCGAAGCCATCGCTCACCGCATAGACGGTGTGGCCACGGCAGATGCTGATGCGCACAGCTGAGCGCACGGCCGCGTTCATGCCGGCAGCAGGGGCTCCCACGTTCAGGATGGCCAGGCTGAAGGGGCTCTGCAGGGACAGCAGCCGTGTGGTTGGGACGGTGGCACAGCCACCAGGAGGGGAACAGCACCATCCTCCTTAGAATCGAGGGGATGATGGAAAGGACAGTGTGGCACCCTGACTTACCTTCTCCTGCGCTGGCTTCTGGTGTGCCAACAGTTTATAGATGTTCCAGTTGTTCTCAAAGCTCCTGCAAGGACAGCAGCAGCTCTAGAGGAGAACCTCTGTTCCAGCAGGCCTCCCCGGTCACCCCATGGTGGCTCACCTCCCACGGAGCTGGATTGCCTCATCAAACCTCTTCTCATCCATGGCCTTCTGCACGTCCTTCGTCTTGGGGGAGAGATGCAGCACTGCGACACCCACACGAGGGGTGACAGCAGTGGGATGCCCTAACGCCCACTCAGCAGAGGTGCCACCAGCCCCATGGAGCTGCCACCAGCCCCATGGAGATGCCACCACCGGCTCTGCACCCCCCAGTGCCACCATGCACTCACCACCTGGACGCACTCCATCAGCGGCAGCCGCACCGACTGGTTCCCTGACAGGCTCACCACGCAGGCGGGGGTGTCCGGGGTGGCCTCCAGCAGCGCCATCACCGCCTCCATCCCCATCTTGCTGCTCTGTAGCGAGTCGGAGGCACCCCTTGGGTGATGACAAAGTCCTTCTCTTACCTTCTGTTCTCATCCCGCAGCCCCGGGAACCCACCAGCACACGGTCGAAGGCAGAGGGCGTCCCGCCACGCTGCACGTGGCCCAGCACGGTGACACGTGTGTCAAAACCCAGGCGCTGCACCACCAGCTGTAGGGCGGAGAGGCTGTCAGAGCAGGCAGGGCCTGGCTATGGGAGCTGGCAGTGGGGTGAGCCTTACGTCTTTGACATAGTTGGAGGAGATGGGCTTGCCGTTGCGGTCGATGGCCCCCTCCGCGATGATGATGATGTTGAGCCGTGACCCTCGGCTGCGGGTCTGGGGGAGCAAAGGGTACAGCAACTTAGCCAAAATTTGTGCCAGCTGAGCGCATCCTGGCCACAAGCATCCTCCTTGTGTCCCCATGGTAGGGACGGGCCCCTCACCTCCCCGAGCCGCTCACACATCATGTCCTCCCAGCCGTCCTCTGGGGGGGATTCGGGGATGAAGAGCCAGTCGGCCCCCGAGGCCAGCCCAGACACCAGTGCCAGGTACCTGCAGGGAGCGATGGTGGCACCCCAGTGTCCCCAAGGGCCTGAAATGCCTCAGAAAGCCCCCACTCCACCCGGTGTCCTCACCCGCAGTGGCGGCCCATCACCTCCAGCACGAACGTCCTCTGGTGGCTGCAAGAACACGGTTTAGGGACACGGTGAGTGGGCACGGCGGGGACGAGTCAACGGTTGGATAACCTTAGAGGTCGTTTACAACCTTAATGGGCCTATGAGTGGGCACAGTGGGGTGGGTGGGACGGAAGTTGGACTTGATGAACTTAGAGGCCATTTCCAACCTTAATGATTCCATGATAACCAAGGGACGAAGGTGAGGAGGATTAGAAGAAGGAGGATGAGGAGGGTGGGAGCTATGCAGGCGCTGAGGCCAGCAGTCTCACCTCTGCGCCGTGGTGGTGATGGCGTCGATCACCTCCATGATGCGATGCAGAGCCGAGTCGGTGCCGATGGTCATGTCGGTGCCACAGAAGTCGTTGTCGATGGAGCCCACCAGGCCCACCACGTTGAGCCGCCCGTTGGCCTTCGCCACCTCCTCGCTGATCAGCCCTGCGCCCGACGCCCCACGCTTTGGGTTGAGCTCCGGCTTTGGCTCATTGCTACCCATCGCGTCCCACATCACTCACCGTCATGCAGCAGCTCATCCAGCAGCCCGGCCCACTCGGCACGGAAGATGTCGGCACCCGTCAGGCTGCCGTCGCCGCCGATGACGCAGAGGTTGGTGATGCCGTGCTCCACCAGGTTGCGGGCGGCACGCAGGCGGCCCTGCCTCGTGGTGAAGGCTTTGCAGCGGGCGCTGCCGATGACCGTACCGCCCTGCACAGGGGACAATCGGGGGACGTGGCACGGCGCTTTGGCAAGCGGGGTGTCCCCGGTGGGGCCTGGCGATGCTCACCAGCTGGATGATGTTGGAGACGCTCAGCCAGGTGGCCTGCTTGATGTTGTCACCGCCTTCCACCAGCCCCTCGTAGCCCTGCGGGGACACGGAGGTGACAAAACTGCGTGCCACGCGCGGGGGCAGGGCGGCTGGCGGGGGCGCGGAGCGGGCAGACCTCGTAGATGAGGAAGACCTTGGCTCCCACGTAGATGCCCATGCGGGTGACGGCGCGCACAGCGGCGTTCATGCCTGCGGAGGGGACACGTGGCACCGCGGGGACATCGCCGCATCAGGAGGGGACCCACCGCTCCCACCGGGCGCCCATCCCGATGCCCCGCGTCCCCACACTCCCATTATTTTCCCGCGCCCTACGCCCCGCGTCCAGACGTCCCCGCGTCCCTGCAGCCTGTCCTCACAGGCCCCCGCGGCAGCGAGGACTACGGACCCGCCGCACCCTCGCCGCCCGGCAGGAGAGCCGGGTGGTGACGCCCGCCGCCTTCTGCCGCTCCGCGGGGCCTCACCTTGCGCGTCGCCGCCGCTGGTGAGCACGGCGATGGCCATGCCGGCCCCCGCCATCCGCAGCCGCTCCAGCTCCGCCGCCGCCATCGCTGCGCTGCCCGGCACCGGCGTCCCGCCCCGCGCGCCCGCTGGCCGCGCCCCCTCCGAGGCCACGCCTCCCACATCTGTGGCCACGCCCACCAGGTGTTGCCGCGCCCAGCAGAGGCTCCGCCCCCCCGCGCTGTGCCGCGCCGCTCTGCCTGGCGGGGACGGACAGCCGCACCCGCGTGCGATGCTTTTGCGATGCTCACACACGATAATTGCCTCTAAACTAATTAACGAAGCGCTATCGCTTCCCATGCGCTGGGCTGTCACACTGCTGCGTGCCACGGGGCCCACCGTGTCCCCTTTACTCTGACACGGCCACGTCCGGCAGTGAAAGGGTGCGGGCGTCGTGGGTGAAGGAAATGGGAGAGACCTGGCCGGACTCCCGGCGTCCTCCTCCTCCTCCTCCTTCCCGGCCCCACCTCCCCGGCACCGCTTAACTGCGGCCGCGGGGCCACCGCAGCCCATCCGTCCCCGTCCCGCCATGCTGAGGCTGCTGCTGCTCTGCGGGGCTCTGGGCTGCGGGGCCGGGAGCGACGGTAAGGGGCTGCGGGGCCGTGCGGGGCCGTGGGATGCTCGGGCCACTGCGGGGCTGGAGGATGAGGGTCAGGTTTGGCGTGACATCCGCATCTCCCCGCAGCCCCACTCGCCTTCACCATGCTGCAGTGGACGCAGGTGTCCAAGGGCAGCTCCCTCTTTTGGGGCAACGCCACGCTGGACGGGCGGCTCAGCCACATCCTGGAGGATCACAACGTCACTCAGGTGCTGCCCCTGGAGCCGCCTGCAGCCTGGGCACAGCAGCGGGACATGGTGACCAACTACCTGAGCTACTTCAGCGGCATAGTGCAGGTCTTCAGCAAGGAGAGGCCCCTCAACTGTGAGTGCTGCCGGGGCGAGGGGGCACGTGGTGCTGTGCTGCTGGGGATGGCTGCTCGGGGACGGGGACGCAGCCCCGGAGCTGCAGGCAGCCCTAAGGCAGAGGGCTTACCCTGGGGTCACTGCTTGGAAGCGGGATGCTGAGGGTGAGGAGGTTGTATCCATGCACAGGGACGCTGCTGTGGCTGTGCTTTGACATCTCTCTCCCTACAGCCCCTGTACCCATGTTCCTAGAGCCCATTTTGCCCCCATTCATTCCTGCACCTGCATCTCCAGTGCTATCCACATCCCCACGTCCATGCCCTATAGCACATCCCCTGTGAGAGCCACCAGGAGCTCACTGAGCACAGGGCGATTTCCAAATGAGAAGCTGCAGGGAGCTCACGAGTGCAAGCCCACAAGCCATGGCCGTGCACACACTATAGCTCTACAGCAGCAAAGGACAGCTGGAACCTAATGCCCTCCATCCCACAGACACCCAGATCCTGCACTGCCGCCTGGGCTGCTGCCTCTTCCCCAATGGCACGGCCCACAGCTTCTATGAGGTGTCCCTCAATGGAACAGCCTTCCTCACCTTCCACGTCCCCACCGCCACCTGGGAGCTCCGCTGGCCACGCAGGGACCCGGTGGCCACTTTTGCCTGGCAGGAGCTGATGAAATACTCTGAGACCACGCATAACCTACAGCACTTCCTCAACACCACCTGCGTGGACATCCTGCGGGCTCAGAGCCCTCACACAGGTGTGTGCCAGGCATGGCGGGGTGCTGGGGGTCCCCCTGCTCCTGGCTCTCATCCCTTGGGAGTTGGGGTGACTTACCATTGTCGCTCCTTGCAGGGAAGCAGAGAGGCCGCTCGCACGCCCCGCTGGTGCTGGGTCTGATCCTGGGGGTCTCCGCGGTGGTGGGTATGGCTGTGGGCATCTTCTTGTGCACAGGAGGGAGCTGCTAGCAAAGCCGTGGCTGTCCTGGGTCACTCTGCGGGCACAGGGGACCAACCCTGCATCACCCCATGGGGATCCCAGCTGGGACGGTTCCCCTGCCCCAGGGATGGGGCTCACAGCGCACCGAGGCGCCGAACCGCGCTTGGCCTGCATGCACGAAATGCAGAGAGGGGTGAAAGTCAGAAGAAAGCCAAAAAGGGTGAAGAAGGTTGGTATTCAGACCGTGATTCATCACCGCTCTGGGGTGAAAGGGGATGGATGCCGGGAGGACAGATGTCACATCTGGGAAAGGACCCGTCGGTGGCCGTCCATCTCCGTGTTGAACAGCCCTGCTTCAGGGCCTGGTGCAATAAAGCCCTTCTGCCCCCAGACTTGTGTCACACTTTCTTACATAGCAGGGGGGTTACGCAGCATACAGTGAGCTTGCACAGCCTTGGGAGAGGCTGCAGGGCTCGTGCTGCCTGATCTCGCCCCAACCGCATGCCGCTCTGCTTGTGCTCAGTTTGGCTGCAATTTTCTCCCTGAGGTCAATTGGTGTCATTTATTTTTTTCCTTCACCTCCCTATGGCACACTGAGGCTGACTATAGACGGTTCCTCCTGGGCAGATTAAAGGGCTCATCGTCGTCACGTATGGGCATGGGCTCCCCAAAAGCTGGGTGAAGGAATGGGGAAAAAAAAAGAGGATGCTGACACCAGTGCAAGGCAGGCCCACAGAAAGCACAGATGGGGTCACAAACACAAAATTCTTACCCCTTGGCAGCGAGGAGGGGAAAGCAGGAACAGAAGTGGGATGGGAGATGTCATAGCAATGTCCACAACAGGGGACAAAGGTCTCTCAAGAGGCTACAGCTCATCTGCTGGAGCTGCCAGGCAGCCCTGGCCGCCCTCCATCACGCAGCCCCCCACCCTTCAGGGGGCTGCAACAGCAGAGTGAAGCAGCAGCCAAGCGTCCTGGGATCCAGAGCATCAATTGAGGCAAACATCAGCACTCAGCTGATGGGAGGCCAGATGTGCTGTGTGTATTGGGGGGGGAAAAGGAGGGGAGAAAGCAGAGGGGTTTGTTTGTGGCACAGGGCAGCAGCACTGCGTCTCCATCACGCGCACACAGAGTTGCAGGGCAGATTTCGCATTGTGGTTCCAAGAGGTTTTGCAACTCACAGGACATCAGAAAGCGAGCTGGTGGCTCTGGTGGATGGCAGCCCAAGGACTTGGGAAACCGTGGGGGTCTGGAAAGACAGGGCTTGTTTTGCTTCTGCAATGCATCAGCTTTTAGACAGCTGGGGCCGTCTTTGCTCATAACAGCTCTGGAAAAGCCTTTTTCCCCTGTCTGTAGGCTCTGGCAGTGCTCCAGGATGTGGCTGCTCTGCCAGCTCAGAGAAAAGGGCAACAGCTGGTGCCCTCGAGTCCCCAAGCCCTACAGCCTTCCCTGGGCACCGCACCCAAAGCCACCCTGGGTCATTTCCCTGATGGTGACCAATATCAAACAACGCATGACACAAAGGGAAGGGCTATGGCGTACAACTGCACCCCTCCCAGCCTCAAATTCTTCTGCCCACCCTCAAACTGCTTCATCATAGGGTCACCATCACCAGCCAGCAGCCCAGCTCACACGTAGGGAGGCCCCAGTTGTTGCTTAAGTGTTTACCATCATCCAGCAACCGGTAGCCACGGCCACGTCCAGTCCTTCAAGCCCTGTGCTCCCCCTCAGAACAAGTGCCAATCCTCAGCTGTATCCTGTCAACCACAGGGCTCTTTCCCTTTCTTCCTGACTTTATCCACCCTGCAATCCCCTGGAGGCTTTCACCAACCTCCCCCCCCCCCCCGCAGCATCTTAAGAGCAAACCAGGCTTTTCTCTCTGCATGCCAAATACTTTCCATCACTCATACTGCTATTGCTGCCAGCTGAGATAAGCAGCCCAGCCTCCAACGCTGTGTTGTTGCAGTGGGTAAGGTGATGCCCTCAGGCTAGGACTGGGTTTCCCCTTCACCTACACATGCATCCCATGGGTGTGCACACATAGCCTTGCAAAGACACACTCATCCTTTGGGGAGGAACGGCATTTTGGCATCAGCCCCACATCCCAGCTGGTGGCTCTGTGTCCTGTCTGTCCCCCACCCTGTAGACAAGGGGCTGCCTGCCACCAGGAGCTGCCCCAGGAACTGGGGATCATAGTGTCAGCACTCACCCTGAGGGTGGAGGTGCTGGGTGGCAGTGAGAGCTGTACAGCACCTCTGGGGGTCACACCACAGCATCACTCCTGCTCCACACACACAGGGTGTTCCTCCATCCTTCTGGTACCAGATTGAGGTCTCCCTCAGCTCAAACTGCCGCATTTTTTTGCTCATCACCAGGACGAGAAGAGTTTATCCTTACAATAAACACTCTATGCACTCAGTGCCTACGCTGCTATCATCAGTGCTGCTCAGGATTAAACAGCCCCGTTCCTCTGAACTGTCCTCAAAGGCCACACACACGTTGTGACAGCCCCAGATGCTTTCCTCTGTGGAATTTCCAGTTTCCAGACATCCATTTTAACCCTGCTGCTGCAGCAGGCTGAGCACGCTGGCTGCATTCAGAGAAATAAGGCACAGTCCTCCTAGAGACAGGGACTTCTTTTTCGGTTGTGCTTTTGACTCCCAGTGAGTCGGGGATCTTTGGAAGCACTGAGATCTTCATCCACCACCCTGCCATGATTATGCCTTTTACTTCTGCATTTGTCTTCTGCAGGAGGCTCCTCTGCCTGTCAGCCTCCTGCTGCCAGGGGCGAGCAGGCAGATCCTTGGAAATACTTAGGCACAAGAGGCAGAGCTGACACATCCCTCCCACAGAGAGGATGCCCAGCTCCTATCACTGCCCTCTTCTCTTTCCTAACGCCTCCCAGGTCAGTGTGGCTGGCACAGCTGGAGGAAATAGGAAGCAAAAGCTGGGCTCTGGCCACAGTCAACACGGAGCACAGCGATGTGGCAGTTACTGCACCTCCCTGCCAGCCACAGCTGGGCCGTCCCTGGGTGGGACAAGCTTTGGTCTGAGTAAGCCTTGCAAGACTGAGTGAGCAGCTCAGCTCTGTGGCATTGGAGCAGAGAGGCTGCTATGCAAACACCACCTAAAAAAATCACTTACAAGAACAACAGTAAGGAACTGCCACTTCACCTTCCTTTCCTGTCCAGCCCCACACCAGAGGTCCCCAGATAAGTTCACACTGCTGGATTCCAGGAACGCTGCAAACCTGGGCGCCTTTAGGACGGCAGTTCCCTCTCCCCTCTACTGCCTGTCTCTCAAAAATATGTTTAGATACAGATAAGTATTTTAGAATAACAAACTCTTCGTGGAGAGAAAAAAAAGCCAGCCCACACAACCTTTCCAGAGAAGTTTCCATGGAGGAGAAGCTGCTGTTTGGGAACACTTTCACCCTTGTCTTTACTTGGTGACGAGGGGACACTGTGCGAGCAGTCTAACTGGCTGTAGTGAGAAATAAGGCAGCAGCTGCTCTCTCCTGGCTAAGAGCATCAGGAACAAATGCCCTGTGTGGCCACATGGTTTCTAAGGACCCATGTACCAAGCACAAAATCTCCTGTGTATGGTCTCAAAAGTGTAGCATCTGGTCTAGGGTGGGCAGCAAGGCTTTGCAAGCATCAAACCTGTCTCAGAGAGACAAGAGAACCGGGCAAGGCTGCTGGGTCAGCAGCTGTTGCTTCCCTCTCCTCAGAGCATGCAGGTTGTCACAATGCTTTCTGGAAAAGCCATCCTATACTATGATTTCACCATCATCTACTTTTGATGAGCACTGCAGGACAGGGAAGCCGCCCAAATAACCAGCAGTAGTACCTAGGCTGGCTGAGCAAGAAAGAACAGGTATCCACCTCTGATCAGTTAAGGTTGCACATCTCCAAGCAGAATACATTCCCACCGTGTTGCTTAGTGCTTCCTTAGACTTTACTGCGTAACTATTTACAGTGAGAAGTCCTTTCCCTCCCTACACAAATGCTTTACAAGAGATATTTCTCCCACAAGAACTGAAGGGACTATTTGCCCAGTTACCTCTTCAAAAGCAGTAAGCCAGAGGAACGTACTCACTTGCCTGGCAAGAAGAGCTGCAGTTACCTGCTCCTGGCCTCCCTGCTGGAATAGGGAGCAGGGCAGCCTGCAGGACAGCTGAGAATTGATGTGGATGTGGAGTCCTCAGCCTAACCAGAGCCAGCAGGATGCAGCCGAGGGGTAGTAACAAAGCACTGATGGTAGCAGTGGGATCTTCAACTAGAACTGAGGGAGCCTGTGGTTAGACCCTGGAAGAACATACAACTTGGAGGTGATCAGAAGTATTCACTTTGTAAATCAGGATCCTGTTTTTGGCAGGCAATAACCATTTGCTTTTTAAAATACGCCCTTCTCAAAGCAGCAAGAGCTTCTCTAAAAAGCACATTTTGAGGACAAGCATCTTGATAAAAGAATTGAACATCCCTGCATCTGAACAGCTAATCCTTGCCTTGCACAAGGCTGTGTGAGATCAAGCAGTCCACGTGTGCTATGACTCACTCACACTGGTTAAGCCTTACTGAGGGAGAGGAGGCAGTAACTCACAGCCACCAATCGCCATAGAACCTGGGGATCACAGGGGGCAGATACAACTTCTGTGATCCTTGAAGGTGCTGGACTTTCCTGCTGCCAACAGAGCAGAACCCAAAGTGGAACATTTGAACAATAGCCTAGCAAGCACTAAAGCACACAGCTTCCTGGAAAGACAGCACGGAAACCCTGGAGCTCGTCTGAAGGCAGGGACAGCAGCAAATCCCAACTGCACACTACGCAGCAGGGAAAAGAAGGTGGAAGGAAGCCTGGTAGGATTTGAGGTTTTTTCTCTTTTTCTTCTTGGATCACGTCTCAGTGAATTACCTGCACCACAAACAATGCAGCCGTTCTCTGCTGATTTGTGCTTTGCTCTCACACTGGCAAATATTGTGGCTTGGCAGCTATCGTTGCCGCTCGGCACAGCACGGGCCTCTCAGAGCAACACTGATCCACAATGGAAAGGGAAAAACATCCTACAGGAAGGAAAAGAATTAGCATGAAAAGAAAAGGCAGCGGTGGGAAGAAGGAGCTGCGCTCAGAATAAATGCACTGCCTGCTGCTGGGGGTGGGGGTAGGAAGGGTTTCACCACAGCCAAAATCTCACGCATAGAAGTTGAGACCTGGCTCTAGTTTTTAGCTTTATCTTTGCACCAGCAGCACAGGCCATGTTGGTTGGGGTAGGAAGGAAGGCAGGCCATGCAGCTGTCAGCAAATAGACCCTTGTAGCACACACTGAGACAAGAACCAGGGCAGCCCTAACAGGTGTGCCTGCCTTTGGAATCTAAGGTTTCTTAATCAGAGCC